CACGATTGCTGACATTTGAGATTATTATCCTAACATTTATACGCAAGAATAATCAGAAATATTAATTCGAATGAAATAAATACTTTGTGGTAAGGTAATCTTTAATTTTTTTCAGGAATTATTGGGGTTCTAACTTCCAGAAAAGAAGTTTTCTAACTTCCAGAATTTGCCCGTCTGACTAATTTAATGTTTTCTGAATCGTATGAGATCAAAATTAGAAAAATAATTTAACAAATCTTTATATTACAAATTTAATATTTTTCAAAAAAGCCATTCGATGAATCTCGCTAAGAACGAGCGTTGATTAGTTTTGCGAAACCATCGGACGAGCCAATTCTTTGGAATTAGCAGAAAATTGCAAAATCCTTTTCTTCAAGATTTTGCAAAAAATCCTGAGATGACTTTGAAAATTTAAAAACCGTTAGGAGGCGTCCATTAACCACGTGATCGATTTTTTAAAAAATTTTTGGACCCCCCCTTGGGTGATTCTTTGTAATATTCAAATTACCCCCGCCAAACATCACGTGTATTTTTAGTTACGAAAAAAACATATTTTTTTTTTGAAAATGTTGGGGATTTTTTTTTAATTCAGGTAAAAAATAAATACACGTGATAGCTTACTAGACTCCTCGCTCCCCCACGTGATATTTCGCGATTTTTTTTATCTCCAAAAGCGTCACGCCTCCTTAGAAAGAAATCAGGAGGAAATCGTGCTCACTAATTTTTAGCAATGATCGTCCAGGACGTTTCTTTGTAATTAAATATTAAAAATATTTTTTTTGATTCCTTTAACACAGCGAGAAAATTATTAGTTTGCTAAATAAAAATTCTGAAATATTAAAGGCCTGGTGGTGCTATTATAAAAACTCCATAAGAACGAACGTTCATTAGTTTTGCGAAACTATCGGCGAAGCCAATTCTTCAGAATTAGCAGAAAAGAACAAAATTCTTCAAGGTTTTTGCAAAAAAAAATCTTGAACTGATTTTGAAAATTTAAAAACCGTTGGAAAAAATTCAGGAGGAATCGTGCTCAGTAATTTTTAGAAATAATCATCCGGGACGCTTCTTTGTAATTAAATATTAAAAAATTCTTTAATTAAATTTTACAATTTTATTTGGGTTCCTTTAATAGAGCGATCATCTAAATAAACATTCTAAAACATTATAGGCCTACTAAAAGCAGGCTTATAATATTTCTAAAAAAATAAATGTTTGTAATATTTGCAAAAAAATAATGTTTAATGTTATGAACAACTTGGAAAATTGGAAATAATATTGATTAGTTTTTGGTGAAAGCGAAACCTTAATTTCCGAAATAAAGAGTTAAAAATTTTAGATAAATCTTAATTCTTAAGGATCAAGTAGAATATTTATACGTATTGTAAGTTCATGCAACTTTCCTTAAGGCAAAATGCTACTTACACCTAGTATATTTTATTTAAATAAAACTACATAAAGAAAGTAAATTTAAATACACCATTGTATGCAGCCTACATTTTTTAAACAAGTGCATTTGTTATCTTGTTGCTTTCTATACACATTTTAAAAATCCATTAATGGTCATTGTTTTGCAGATAACATTCATAAACAGATATAGTGTATATGTAGAAAATATAATACAAAAATCATTTAAACATAGACAAAATAAAACTAGTAGAATTCAAGCATTATTCTACTTAAATTCTTAAAGGTATTAAGAAAAAAATAGAAGTTAAATGCTGGTTCAACACAGCTTGCATTCAGGAATGTCTGTTATTAAAAATATTGAAAGTTATAAATATATAATGGGTATATAAAAAATCATGAATTTTCTCGGAAATCAATTAAGCAATCGACAAGAAATTTAGTATCGATGTCATTCACATCTAATTACCAAGGAATGCGTCCTTGGCGTCGATAATCAACGTCAAAGTCAAACTTTCGTTTTTTCAATTAACATTCACGTATGAATAGCAAATAAGTTTATGCCAAATACATAATTTTGGCCATCAATTTCATATCCGTATTTGTGGAACGAAATATTATGAAATAATTGTAATTTGTAACAGAACTCCGTTTGTGGACTCGCGAGATCCTCATCTCTTTAGCTATATTATTTGCTTATATATTATTTGCTCAATAAAAAAATATTGCAAATAATTAAATAAAGAAAATGAAAATGAAATATAAAGTACTGTATACATGCACGAACATTTTAAGTTAAGCAAATAAATCAAAAATATTGAAATCTGAAAAAAAAACAAGCCCACCCATCAAAAAGTTGCTTCCGACGCCACTGCTTACAACAGATACATATTTTCTTAAATAGATCTTTAGATAATTAGATTGTTTCGGCATGGGTCATAAAGAATTCATGGGTCTGTTGCATTATTTGTCAAAAAAATTTCATTTGAAATAATAAATACCTGTGTATAACTACATTGTCGTGCCGGACGGTATAATCTGAATTCAGGCACCAAGATTCCTTATCGTTTCCACCTAAAATCAAAACAGTACAAAAAGTTAAGATTAAAAATAGTAAAAACCATTAAGATTACTTTCTATGATGGCATTGACCTTTGAACAGACGCAAATTTTAAATAATCCACGTAAAATTTAGTTGTATCACAAAGAATAAAGAAATTTATTATTATTTCTTAAATAGCGTGATATATGTTAATAACAAATAATTGATATTTTCGAGGTCAAATAATAGGAAAAAAAAACTTATCACAATGAGAACTTTTATTTTAAGTAAGAAAAGAAACACGCGTTTACCATCAGATAAATGTGGGCGTTTTGTACTCGATCGCGATAACAATCTTACATTTATCATATGAGAGGTCAATAAAAATATAATACAAACTTGTCTTGATAATGAGAATTTTCACTTAATAATTATCTATGCAAATTCATAACGGTAATAAATTTTAATTGAGACGTGATAATATTAATCATTACTGAAAAAATCCTAAAATGTAATATATACATATAATAATAATATATTATAAAACATATAAACATAATATAATAAAATCCATTATATATTATAAAGTTGCTTTAAAAGGTTCATAGATCTTTTTTGTTCATTATACTTCGATAAAGAATTTTGGATCAATTTTCAAATAGCACAAAAAAATAGAAATAAATAAATTTGTTAGCTGAATTAGGATCACTACATCAAAATTTATTAAATTAGATATCAATTTATAATGAATTATCATATAATAAATATAAATTCATACAGTATTTCAACATATGAAGAAATTGTAATTTATAAGAATGATATGGGATTATTATTGCAATTTAGTAATTATTGTGATTCAATAATAGAGTTACAATAATTGATCATAAATCTTCGACTGCTATTGACTCTTAAATTATGTAACTTTACTATACTATATTTAACAACAAAATTATTTGCGATAGATTTTTTTATTGTATATTTAGATAGCAATCAGGACACACATGAAAAATGTGGTTTTTAGGAGTGGTTTGCATATCTTTTTTGAAAATATTTTATTAATAGAACTTCTGCAGAATAGGTGATTTTTAATTTTATACAAAACTGCCAAGAAAAGGCTTGGAAACATTTTTCCACAAAATAGATGTAAGATGCTTACCATCCGATAT